CCCCCCCCCCCCCCTCCCCCCTCCTGGTCCCCAGCTGGATGTCCTCTAGATCTGCCATTGAACAAAAAGTAATTACAAGTCGATCAAGCTGTTTTGAGGAAATTAAACTTCTATTTATTTATAATTATAGTACCGATTGATTTCCACCCAGTTAACATTTGTCTGTAAACATGTATGAACACATGATAATACACAACCTCCGGCAGGTGTTATTTATTTGTTTAATGGTTTACGCTGTCACCGCGTAATGTGAGGACAGAAACTTGTACTACATATATTCATTGTTCACCAAGATCACATTCACCAATTATGTACATTGTATCTAGATTAGTTTATATTTCATATTCAGGTCATATTCACTGTTTACCTAATCTTATATTCACTGTCCCGGTCAGTATCATTATTGTCACTTTTGGTTAGACCATTATAGTCACTTAGTCACCGTTTATCTAGACCATTATATTCACTGTTTATCTAGATAATTATATTCACTGTTTATCTAGATAAGTATATTCACTCTTCAACTAGACCATTGTATACTGTATTTCTATATATGTACATTCACTGTTTATCTAGACAAGTATATTCACTATTTATCTATATCAGTATATTCACTCTTCAACTAGACCATTATATACTGTTTTTCTATATATGTACATTCACTGTTTATCTAGACCAGTACATTCACACTGTCTACCAAGACCAGTATTCGTTTATACATTTGTCAGTCCTATTCAATGTACAGATAAACACTTTGGTGAGTAGACTACGTACACGGCGATGAGAAATAGTTGGCGTTTTTTCGTCCATGTGTCCTAATTAATCAAACATCTGTCAGGTACAATATGTAACAGGTAAAGTTGACCACTGCTCAATGTCAAATCCACACGCTGGTCATCTTTGGGACGTGGACAACCCTTAAACACCAATAAACGTCAACATCGTCCAATGTTTTCGTTTAAATCCGTGGGAATCGTATGTTCGGTGTACCTCTAGATCTGTCGTCTTCTTTGTCGTTATCTGGAATCTGTATGTAGTTATATGCGTGCCCCTGTCGGGTCGTTCACCTCAGCCATCTTTTTCTCGTACAAGTTTATAAGCACAGGCATCATATTAGTTCTAGTGAGACTTGTGTTGAGTAAAGTCTATTTTTATTAGCTTAAGTAGATACGAGATTTGCTGCCACAGCTATCAAACTAAATAATGCAGGATTAGTATAAACTATCACTGTAATTACATGTCGCACACTACACGTTAACGACGGCGATCGAGGGAGCGAAAATACGAAGGTGAGGGAGCGAGAATACGACGGCGAGGGAGCGAAAATACGAAGGCGAGGGAACCAGAATACGGCGACGAGGGAACCAGAATACGGCGACGAGGGAACGAGAATACGACGGCGAGGGAACGAAAATACGAAGGCGAGGGAACCAGAATACGGCGACGAGGGAACCAGAATACGGCGACGAGGGAACGAGAATACGACGGCGAGGGAACGAAAATACGAAGGCGAGGGAACCAGAATACGGCGACGAGGGAACCAGAATACGGCGACGAGGGAACGAGAATACGACGGCGAGGGAACGAAAATACGAAGGCGAGGGAACCAGAATACGGCGACGAGGGAACCAGAATACGGCGACGAGGGAACGAGAATACGACGGCGAGGGAACGAAAATACGACGGCGAGGGAGCGAGAATACGACGGTGAGGGAGCGAAAATACGACGGCGAGGGAACGAGAACACGACGGCGAGGGAACGAGAATACGACGGCGAGGGAGCGAGAATACGACGGCGAGGGGGCGAGAATACGACGGCGAAGGAACGAGAATACGACGGTGAGGGAGCGAAAATACGACGGCAAGGGAACGAGAACACGACGGCGAGGGAACGAGAATACGACGGCGAGGGAGCTAGAATACGACTGCGAGGGAGCGAGAATACGACGGCGAGGGAACGAGAACACGACGGCGAGGGAACGAGAATACGACGGCGAGGGAGCGAGAATACGACGGCGAGGGGGCGAGAATACGACGGCGAAGGAACGAGAATACGACGGTGAGGGAGCGAAAATACGACGGCAAGGGAACGAGAACACGACGGCGAGGGAACGAGAATACGACGGCGAGGGAGCTAGAATACGACTGCGAGGGAGCGATCATATGTACCAAGTGTATAGAGAACACGACGGCGAGGGAACGAGAATACGACGGCGAGGGAGCTAGAATACGACGGCGAGGGAGCGAGAATACGACGGCGAGGGAACGAGAGTACGACGGCGAGGGAGCGAGATAGTGTCGATAGCGCCGTCGTATTCTCGTGTTGTTGCGACGTGTTTATACCTAGAAAAATAAGTGATAACCACAGATGCTATAGTAGTCGGAATAGCAAGAAGTCCTCGTCCGATTTTGACTTACTCTACTGAACTGCGGTGCGGTTACAGTGTACGTGTACATGGCGGACACATGTATACATGTCTATGGCCTGGATAATTAGGTGTTTGTTACCAGACACCGATACATCAGTCGATTACCTCATTATAAACCCCTACAAACTACACAGAAAACATGTGTCTATATTACACGGAGGTGATGCTGTAACGTATAATGGACCAGCATCATTATATTGGTACATCAATGGTTTGTCGTCGTTTCATCTCTTTCTGTAACGTTACTTTCTGGCAGTTGTCCTAATAGTACTTTCTTGTCCTTGGCACAGCATGACTATGAAAAAATACTAGTACTGAAATGTTTACATGATAATTTTGCTAGAGGAAAAATTGTAAAGAATTAGACAAAGATATTAGACACAAACAATTTTGTAAAGGTGTATATGAAATTTTAAAGTATGATCTACGACCGTGCAAAGCTAACAGCGCTGGATAAGTAACTTTGTTCAATACAGTTTCAATAGCGAAGTATCGGCGTATTCCGTTGAAGACATAACGAAAGTTGCCGAAATAGGCCGAATGGTTACGAATGACAGCTATTTGACAAGGGGTTACAACAACTGTCTCATGTTCTGTCAACCCTTGTCAGGTACCTGTGCTCGCGTTTGTTTATTGATATTATAGGTAACAACAATGATAAAGTGCTTCAAAGTTGTTTAGTATCCGTGCTAGTTTGGAATTTATTTAAAATACCGCCTTATATAAATTCCAGCTAGTATCAAATGATTATTTGATCACTTTTAGAGATAGCAGGTAATTTGTCAGATGATCAATATTGACGGACAGTTCTTAATATAAATTCGTCACGCAAAAACGTAAATCAAATTCATAATAAAACTACTAACACTCTGACATTCATTAATGTATGAATGTTGAGCACGTTAAGATATGCTCTGAAACGGAATAAGTAAGTCAGGAAACGTTCAGCGAACATCATGCATAAATCATATTTCATTAATTGATAACTTCCGTACCAGAACATCTAATAAATTTCTATAATTGATTGATGATTTGATCACATATCCATCCTTAGCATTTCAAATTGAAACATGAATTAATCTATAACAGTAAAAATCATTATACTGCCATGCATTATCGTCCACCAAAGTAATTGACGTTATAAAAAGTTAATGTAGTCAAATTTGCAGACGACCTCTTAAAATTAAGTGACAACTTAGGTTAAAATATCATTCTAAAATTTCACTCTTGCAGTAATTACCCTGTTAAATGACTGTATATCGAATAGGTCTATAAAAGGTGAAAAATTGCCTCAATAAAATAAAAGGGCGGTGGGAGGTGCAAGGAGGATCATTTTAACAAGGATTATCTGGACATACCATATCTTCTTAATATTTAAAGGTAACTAAAAAATAAATCCAAACTATCGTTCGGCCTTGACAGATTCGCCATTTTAAATGTACTAAGATTACAAGCTAAGAATTAGAAATTGTGAAGGTGATAAAAATGTATCATTCAACAGAGAAATAATTTGATAACTTTTAGTTTGTTTTTATGTTTACATATTAAGACCATGTTACATGTAACATTTGAATACAGCGTAATGACGTATTGTATTGGTACTTAAGTTGTTATGGCATGTAGCTGACCATATATATTACACGGCCCTTACATACCCTTGTAACAATGATACATTGAATTATGGTACTAGATCGTGTGTACTTGAATCTGAAACAAACACACAGGATCGTTTAATGCCTATAAATGGGTCATTTGTGGGTTATGGCCCGAGCTGAGTCTTAAACAGGGAGATTACAATACACGAAGGAGAGGTGTAAATATAATCCGGAGAGCTGTCCGTACGATCGTAAAATTTAAGGAAAGAATTTCTATTGTATTCCCATAATAACATTATCAATTATATCTTAACCTACCATGAAGATTGTAACAATGAGATCGGCTGGAATACTCAGGACAGTGGTCATTTGAGAATCGTGGGAGGACAGACGGAGAAGCTGTAGAGACTTGTTACACTTTTAGCATATACTTTTTACAGTCCGATAATCACGTACATATCCTATTTCTCAACATTAATTCACTCACACTTCCGTCACCTCTACTTCATAAAAAATATAAACGAAAGGTTGCCAGTTTATAATGTACAGACACGGAATTAGATGTTATCTAAGTCCGTGGTTCAGATCAGGAAAATTGATTATGTTGTAACTCTTCTCTTTTGAAGGTGAAACTAGTAAACAATGTGAAGTACGACCTTAAGCTGTCACCTGAACCCCACAGGGACCCTTTGACTGTACTCTGTATTATATTTCGCTTAGATTGTGCTCGTCACGACATTCCAGATGCTTCATGTTTCTTTATAAGCTTATGTATACATACACACATATATATATGTAGGGTCAGTGTGTCAGGATCAATCGTTCCCATAATCCACTGCGTCCCTTCCGGAATGAGCCCCAATGAACTCTGGGGCAGTTGAATTGTGTCCAAATATGGTTTTAACTTTTAATAAATAAGCATAACAATTCAAAAGCGGTTAAGTCCCTAAAACGAGTTAGAAAACTTACTAATTTTGCATATTATCATTACCATTATTCTTGTTCCGATGATGATGATTACCTTCTGCCAAATGGTTTCCGGAGTTTACCCCCAGAGGTCTATACATTGCCACTCAAAAACTTAATTGAAGACTATTAGGAGCAAATGTTAATCGTTATTTTCGAAAAAAAAATGGTTCGCGAATCACTTATATCACTATAAATTATCGACTCAGCTGTTTGTTAATAAAAATCCTTGATATGGCTCGATCACGATAGCCTGGAGAATATGAGTCATTTTGTTTCGAATGTGATCTTGGTAAAGATTTAATAAATCATTGTTATTCACTATTCAGGGATAGATCGAGATGTCAGTATGGATTATGAATTAACACGCATAGCAATGCGTGGCATGCTGTTTAAATTCTGGCCAAAATGTCTTCGTGGGACTGAAATTTAATTAAGTGCAGAAAATATGGGATCATTTTTATGTGCGGATGTTTCTTCATTTCGAAATCAATAAGATTTTATAATTCCCTGTAGCGTTTAAATGCTTCACTTATAGTAATAGTGTAACACAAGTCCTATCAGCTCACGTGTGTATACACACATCATCATTAAAGAGTGTTACGGATCCCTGTACCACTGTCAACAACTGTAATTGTAATTGTAACTGAGATTGCTTTTTGACCTGCATGAAAAAAGGTAATAATAATTCGTTCTGAAAGAAATCCATACCTTGCAGAAGTTTGCGGAAAAAATAAGAAAATAGAAATGAATAAGATCAACACCAGTGCTTTTAGGAAAATGCAGCGGGTGGCAGTTTCCTGACAAAGTTCCACTAGTTATATCCAGAACATAATTAAAGGGAGGTCACTGCATATATAAAATCACCAGTAGAACTTGGATCCTTATATTGGTAAAGCAACCAACAGGAATTGACGTCGTTATTACTTTCCCGGACACTATATTTCTGCTTTTGTTTGAAACGGTTAATAATTTTCTATCTATTTATTTGTACCTTTTCGTAATAGATCTACATTTATTATGACTAACGTCTTTTTTAATTAAACTTTACAGAGAGAAGCATGGCTAACATTGCAGATATCGAAGAAATAGTACAGACATGGGCTTGGACAGCTTTTCAAAAGACCAGATCAAAAGACGTCAGTAAATTAAAACTCGAAGATGTGAAACTTGACGTAAATTGGTCACGAGTGCGATTCTTCAGAAGCGAGCCCGAATTTTCGGACGGACAAATGGTAGAACTACCCAATTCACAGATTGTTTTCACTTCAACGTTTATCAATAACACCGAGCAGGACCAAGAGCATTCCTTCAAGACAGAACGTACCACGACTTCTGTTAGCACGGTAACAGTTTCAAAAGGCTACAGTAAGGGGTTTAACCTCGAGCTCAAACTGGCACTTCCGGAGGAAGTGGCTGCAGTGACGGCGGGATTTGGGCGGGAAGTAAATATGGATAACACTGAGGAGAGTGCCCACGAGGAATCGATCACGTGGGCTGTCGATAGCACCGTCAAAGTGCCAAGAAAAACCACGACAACGGCAGAAATGGTCGTGAAAGAAAAACAATTCAATTCTAACTATAGAATGCCGGTGAAAATTCGAGGAACTGTGATAGTTGCTGTACTGAATTTAAAGGATAATAATTCTTTTGTACAGTCTGTAGAGGGAGATTTCTCGGTTATCATGGGGGACGAACTTAAACGGGCAAGAAGTGGGTACCAAGTCGAAAACAAAACCGTCACCTTCCTTGTGGAGGGTTCTTGTAAGTTCAGGTTTGGCGTGGAACAAAGAGTACAACTCAAAGAAAAGCCAACTGAAGACTGAATGTGTTACTTTAAGGACCTTTTATACAACATGTGACGTTATTTGGCCTCAAGCTGTTTATGTGGGGTTTTCACTCTTCTCGGAGAAAGGGTGCTGTCTATGCAGCCTCGTTGGATAAATATATCTTGTCACTATAGGTGGCGCATTGTGATTGACAATTTCGAGGCGCCGACTGGTGAGTATAAGGACTATGAATCCTACCACGGTAGACTGCTCAATAACTTTATTTTTTTGGCACACAAAAGTTTAATAGAATATGTCCATTCCAATTCGAAAAATAAGTATCATGATTCAAGACAGCTCCAACTACTTCACCAGAATGTAGGGCAGATCATTTCGAGTATGCTAACATATATAAAAGGTTGCTTGTGGAAATTGTGTATAACGTTTTAATGGACGCTTATTTGCTTGTGATTTGTTTAAAGACTATTAATCTTTGGTACTCGGGTTGCTAGCGCAACATTCAATGAATGGATTCTGGAGTAAAGTTGGCAAGATGATTTGCTATGTATTTGTTCAGTCTGACCAGAGACGTATAAAACTAGAAGTATAATTATCTCTGGTTTTACAAATATGTTGAACCATTGTCAAAATATTACATTCGCAAATCTCATTGAAATTTTCATGTGTTATGAATATGCTTGTAAGCCTATATATACTAGAAAAGTGTAGTTATGAGCAAATTGTTTTAGCATATTGATATTTTATATTTAGCTTTACATAATATAGCATTTAACATATTAATTTTATAATAAAATAATGAATACATTTCCTTCTTCTATGGTTTGTAAAGTGTAAAATCTCTACAGAAATCGTTGGTTTATATTGTTCTGCCACAGACCTGAAATAAACATCAGTCATACACGGAGGTGCCGTATATATATATAACATTAGCTCTTAGAGACTGGAAATATATATATAACCATAGGATCTTTACAGGAGTTTCCATTTCATATCAGATTTATGAAAGGAGTCTAGAAGAATCAGTTTTTCAATTTAGGGAGCCTCTGGTGAGCTAAAATGAAAAAATCGTGACGAGTTTCATCAATTTCATATGAAATAAAAACGAGTGTAAGATCCTTTTTATCACATAATCAAGATTTGTGGCATTTATTCGTGTAAAACGACAATTTCCATGCAACCTTGAAATGTAAAAAGACGCCATTTTGACTCCAGTGTGTAAGTCTCTGACGTCATGCTCTTGTCCTAGGCGTGACGTAATAATTGAAACACAACCAATCACAGGGGTCACTTGTATAAAACATCTCAAAGTGAAGGAAAATCTCAAGCAATGTATTGTCTATGGGTAATCTTAAGACTTGAGGAAATCTCAAGAGTTGAGATGTTTTATACAAGTGGGCTCAGGGCTGATAGGTCATAGTACATGGGTTAACATTTACTGGATAACACAGTACATTATGTGATAAAACAATATTTACCATATGAGCTCGTTGTATATAAAAAAAATCTCGAAAGTATGTTTTTTTTCCCTCCGGTCCATTCTGATGGTTTCTAATATGTTGTTGTAATGTGTAAAGGGAAGTAACTCGTCCTTATTTCGTTTACTCCACATCATAAAATTTCTAAGACACAAACTGCGAATCTAGAAAAACAGTTTTCAAACTATTTATTACATTTAATGAAATATAATACTAGACTAGTAATATATAACAAGGCAAGATAGAGTATGTTTACAATCATCCTATAACCACGCAACATTACATAACAAATAGAGACTACAGGCACAGCCTTCTGAAATTAATATCAATTATCAACCTTGAATGTTTCATTGTCAAAGCAAATCCTTTAAAAAAAATATTCTAATAATGATGTAAAGTCATATAGCTAGGGTATGGGAGCTAGACACTGAATTAAATCTAACAAAAACGATACCCTAATCCAGTCGTGCCAGGCATTGCTAGTCAATACCATATTAAAAAAAATGTGGTTTTTTGTATCCTTTGCATAAATAATAATTATGATGTTTAAAACAAATTAAATAAATTTCTATTTCTTTTTCATTTATTGACATTTTATTTATAAGTTTCTGTTAAGCTAGCACAACACTTTGATAAAACAGATCCAAGTAATTTATTAACATGGCGTTGTAAAGGAATATATTTCAACAGATCTAGAATACATACAGTCTATCCGGTTTAATTTGATTTCAGTATCAAAATATATTTTATTTTTTATTTATTTTTTAAATTGTGAGGCAAGTTGGCTACTTGACTTATCAGTTTATTAAAAAAAAAGACAACAAATCCCTAACTACATTAAAAAAACTTCTATAACAAAAAAGTTAAATGTTTATAAACATTACCTACCATATTATTACATAGAACAAGAAAGATGAAAACAAAGTTTCAACAACTTTTTTTTTCCAAATTTGATTTAAAATAGAATTTCTCCAGTTGTCTTATACAGAGACAAACTAAATCTAATTAAATGGGATAGACATGAACAGTATTTTTTAACTGTATATAAGGACTAACTCAATATTATCTACCAGAACCCAACCTTAACCATTACACTTGTAAAATAGGAAGGGCATGAAAGTATAAAGTGTGAAAACTAAACCAAAGGAAAGGTACTATGCAATGTTTATGTACAAGAAATATGGTAAATAAGTAAGTAAAAAGTTAATTGATTACAAAAATGAAAAAACAGGACAGAGAAAGTACATAAATTAACTACAATATTAAGCTAAACAAAAGAATGTCAAAAAATAAACAATATGTATCTATTCACCAATACCACGACACTGATATGAATTTTAACTGAACATTCTACTGTAAATAATACATATACAACATATAGGTTATGCTATACTGACAATGTATAATCAACTACCAACACTTTTCTTCAGTCAGTCTAAACTACTTGTACTGCTTTCATCTAAGTGATATATATCCCTACATACAAATTATTTCCAACCTTCGGTCCTTGGGTTGGTTTTCCTCTCTCCCCAATAAACTGCTTTTCAAAATGTCACATACCAATAAGTCAATGCTAGGATTTGATTTTATCATTTTTCCCCCTTCTCTTTTTATAATATAAAATATTTTATCTGAAAAAGTTTACCAAAAATTATGTTCAGAGACTTTAAATTATAAAATGCTAATATTTTCAAGATTAGTGAGAAGAACAGATAACACAAGATTACAGAAGGCACAGTGGTATATATAGTAAATAAGTTATAATTTAAATAAAGTGTAGCAGTAAGTTGTCTTCCCATTTCCTTTGAGATATGTCACTTTAATACAAGTGGGTTTTTCCACTATCAAAAATATTTCCAGAGAAACACAGGGCTGTTTTGCAAAAAAACAACTAAATGACTGGATAGTCATAAAAAAAATCATCTCAAAACTTTAAACTTTTTATAAGACAACAAAGATCATTATTATTTCTTAATATTAGAACAACGGATCTGCCGTGGTGTCCGCTTAAATGACAAATAGACCTGCTTAACCATCCATTGTTTATGTATACAGAGATTATCTAGAGAAAGACAATTAAATGCACCATAACAGATAGACACAATTAAATGCATCATAAAATTACATGTGCACTAAGAAAATAATCAGCAATAATTTATAACGAGTATGTAATATATGTACTTCAATAAAACCTCAATATCCTTTCTGTATTTGTCCTGGAAAATTTTGACATTTCAATGGGCTTTGGCAAAACATTGAGAGAAACATATGGAGATATTGCTAAGTTAAAAAGGAAGTATTTTACTTCATTTTGAACATATCAGATCACTACAACAAGTAATAAATTTGCCTGTATACATGTATGTAAACAAATTGCTCAGCTTAAACAGGTAAGAATGGAGACTCATATATATGTATAAAGTGTTACTACCATACAACTGGTATCAAATATGTGGACAGAAATCATTTACATTTCAATATATTGTTATCACATCGGTAGCAAAAGGTGGGGGTGTTTACTTGACAGGGGAGGTAACTCTATCTAATCAATAGGGTCTTGGTCTAATCCTGACTTTGACAGTGCAACATCCCAGGAGTATTCTTCTTGTTTCTTTAGACTTATTATCACTTTCTCTTTTTCATACTGAAATAAATAATAAATACAATTACAAAATATCATATAATCAAGCTGTTTTATAGTGTTATATATTAATTAACACTATCACAAACTCAGACGGGTGTAAAGTGTTATAACACCATCATAAACACAGACTGTTATACATTGTAAAAACGCCATCATAAACTCAGGCTGTTATACAGTGTTATAACACCATCATATACACAGACTGTTATACAGTGTTATAACACCATCATATACACAGACTGTTATACAACAGTGTTATAACACCGTCATATATTCAAGCTACTATGCAGTGTATAATATTACCATCATATATTCAGACTAATATATAGAGCAACAACACCATTATATACTCAGACTGCCATACAGTGTAACAACACCATTATATACTCAGACTGGTATATAGTGTAATAAAACTATCATATATTCTAGCTGCTATGTTGTGTTATGAAACCATTATATTTCAGCCGCTCTATATCCTGTAGAACTGGATTCCCATGAACCTCAGAATGGTCAATTTAACACTGATTACACATAGTGATAGCAAGAACAGACGGTGTTACAGTCAGGTATCTTCAACATCATAAGCTCTCGATGTACACATCTTCTCTAGACTCTTGGAATATATGTCATGACAAAATCGAAAGCTCGTGGTTAGCTGTTTGATTGGTTTTGAGTGTAAAAGCCAGACTGCTACTTGTCCTTTGAAGATTTCAAAAGAGTCACACACAAATTAAAGCTGGTCAGTTTTATTGGCTGATATCTATCCTTTGAAGATTACAGAGGAGGGATACCGTTACCTGAACCTCAATGCTGTACAATTTTAACAACGTGTCACTGTGTGATAACTTTCATCTTGATAAAAGGCATCAAATTAGTGGACTCAGATCATTTGCATCAGGTTGTTAATATATAGAGCCTTTGATTTTGTCATCACGTATTCCAAGGGTGTAGAAAATATTTATTTTGAGAGCAAACCCCTTGAAATATGGAGATGCAGTCCAGGTCACTTTTTCCTATTTCCCTACTTTTAACATAAACATGAGGAGAGGATGTGCTTATTATCATTGTTTGGCATCTATAGCCATTTGCAATTTATTTTTTCTCTTGATAGAAAAAAACCTTGAATCATTTATTTAATGTTCTACTGCGCAGAAACAAACACATCCTCGATACTCCAGGGGCTACACTCACTTCCATTATCTTTACCCCTGCAATACATCATAGCAAAACTGAAGGCAAACTGTTATGTATTTGACTGGTTTCAGGTAATAAAACTGAACAATCTCTAATCTCAATTTTACTGTTATGCTACCCCACAATTATTTTGATGTACATAAACTTGTCCACTTGTAATATCTGCAAAGTGACATGTACAAAACCTTCATTTTTATCATGACATATTCCAGGGCTGCAGAGAACTTAAGTAAATATAACCTCTGGGATTCCAAGAAGGAAACCAACAATGAGGGTGCAATCTAATTAAAATTATAATTCCGTTACTCTACGATTCTCTACGATACACTTCAATACAGGAGCGTATCGCAGAGGATTATAGAGGAACATAATTACAAGTCAAATTTAAATTAGATTGAATGAGGGTGAGAACAGCATCCATAAAGAACATTTTGAGATTTGTACAACATGGTAACCTCCCTATAAATTATACATGTCTCAGATCACAATAAACCTTCAGCTACTTACAGAGACACTACATGCTTCTTTGTCTATAATGCTGGGTAACTTATTAGCCTTGTATCTGTACTTTGTAACTTTTCCTTTCTTATCCTTGATGTCAGCTGTCACTTCCAGGGAACTAAAAACAAGAAAATTAAACACCATCACCAACTTTTCAAATATTTACCTTAACATATTACAAGAAATAGTTTAAGAAGTAGGCTTCAACAAAAACATGAGCTAATTCAGCATAATTCAATCATGAACTAATTCAACATAATTTGATCATGAGCTTATTCAACATAATTTAATCATGAGCTAATTCAACATAATTCAATCTTTGATAAATTCAATCTTTCAGAGTTTCCGTTCATTTAGTTGTATAAACTTATTGCAACTGCATCCTTACTCATGATTTGAACATAAACTCAGAAGTAAGATAAAAAAATGTGTATCTGATATGATTGTACATTGATAGAATGCTTATTTAACTGTTTACAGAATCATTTGCATTATAATTGTTATTTACTGAGAGAGCCATTTTTTGGCTTTACATTTCGTAATAAATGCTTCTCTTTTTTCAGGGTTGAGGGTTGGGGTTGATATCAATGAATCTCCTCCAATATAACATGCTTATTTTTCAATAATAAAAAAAAAATCAAATCTTTATAGAACATGTGGCAAGTAAAAAGGAACCCAGTTCATCTCTCCCACTACTCTTCATTTTATTGGTTTGGGGAAGTGAAATGCTTACTCATTACAGTACAAACCAGTTTTAACTTGCAAATACAATTAGATTCTATAAAAGAAAACACACTCATACTGTGAACAAACTTATGTTTTAAGGTACATACCTTTCCTCCAGTTTAACGTCTACAGTGCAGACATCCTCCTTAGGTTTCTTACTTCCCACCAACAGCATCGTTTTCTTTACCTGCAGTCCTGGAATCAGCACCTGAACCTCCGCTGTAGACAGGTCCTTGTCTTTGGCCACCACTACCAGACAAACAGAGACATTGATAAAGTTTACATTAGCTAGAAATTTATCTGTAAGACAAGGATGCCTTTGGTCCAGTAAAATTAGTTTCATTGTTTGATGGACATGGGTAATATTATATGCCCATCCCGTAAAATGACAGGGGCATAATAATCATACAAAAAGAGTTTGTTAGAACTCTGACTTTCATCCTTGAAATACAGGCTGAAAAGGCATCTCCAAATGAACATGATATAAGTATTCAGAGTAACAATGAATATAGATAATATATATATAAGCAACTGTCTGACAATGTGGGTCGTGGCCACAAGTGAAAATTCTGTTGGTGGGTGATAGTGTGTGACAACATTTTTCAACAAAATTCATGACAGCATACATCTAAAATAGTCAATCATCTTGATATTTTACTTTTACAATTTTTCTGTTCAATATATTTATTACCAAAACAAAGGGTGTTTGTCACTGTATAATTGATGAATGTTCAATAATTTTAAGTTCAATAAACCCATCAGGGTGATAATTCGTCATAGGTTATGCCATGAAATTGGGAGAATAACCCCCAAGAGGGGGTGAATTGGCAACTATGTACAGACCAAATTATCAGAAAATGCAGCGGCATCATATCAAAACACCAAACAATAAAGGATCCTTTAGGCAATCACTCCTATCCATGCTTGCTGGAGCCAGAAGGGAGACAAGTGGAGGGGTCAGAGAGTCGAGGCATATATGTACCTAAGCTATAACTCTTTGACATGTAACTTCAATTAATTCATAAACTAATTACTTTATTTTATTTATGTGAGCTATTACCGAGACATTAAATTATTGAGAAGTGTACATGTTTATTTGCTGGAAACAACTTTCAACAGACGCAGGAAGGCAAATGTCTAAACTGTGAAAGATGAATGTCAGAGAGGAACAAGGCCAGCTGTAGACACCATCTACATAGGTACAAGATTTAATTCTGTCTTTGGGGGGTGGGGTGGGGTGGGGGGGTGGGGGGTATGAGCATCACAAATCCAAATTATGTATGCACACGTAGTACGAAAGGCCGATTTACGGGTCTTAACCATATCTGCATTCTTTACCTATGTATATGCGTGTGTGCATGATTAGGCTCGATACTAAATGGACAAAACAGAACTACACAATAAAACATGAAAGTTTGGGCAGTTTGGCTAATTAATAATTTGTGTGGGCGTTTCTCCTATTTTGATTATTATCCTTCAGCTGGAGCTTCACCATCTCAAGTCTGGCGGCTTTCTTAACTTCTAAGAGGAGATGATTAGGGTTATGAGGCTGAAAAACACAAAAGATGTATCTTGCATGGCTGTTCAGGATTTAATTACCTGTTGGTGTCCGTGTCTGGTCGTCGTCGGCCATTTTAAGAAATTCTTCGAAGAGTTATATCCCTTGCGCAATATCACTTCCGGTCAAAAGGAAAATGAAAGTAAGATTTTTGCTGAAATTGGTTTCTGGATTCAGGGTTGCACCCAAGTCTTAAATGCATTTGTTATAAAAAAAAAATGTAGTGTAAGAAGTACAAAACATGTTTTTGAATTGAAGCATATCAATCCATAAGCACTTTACATGATTCATACTGTTTTTCTATCAAAGTCCACTCGTCAGACCAGCCCGAGTTTCCTCTGACCCTGACACACCAGATATCGATCTGTCAAAATGTCTAAGTCTGGTGTTAGAGCCAGATGAAACTCGTTAGACATGCTTCCAAATTTCTCTTTTCTTTCTCGCCTATTTCGTCCCATCGTATACGCCATCGGGTACGGTATCATTGCTTTTAACCTTATATATAAACTTAACATCATGTAAGTCCGTTGATGAAAATAACTGACAGCGTTTAAAAAATCTTTATTTCAAAAAAGGTTTTAACGATTTCTGACAAATTTTAGTCATTCATTCCCTAAAATATTTGTTTGAACAGTTCATATAATTTTCCATGTTTGGAAATATGATAGGATATTTATGTTGTCGCACCGTATTTACCATTTCCCGGATTCTTTTTCATTTCATTTTCTTTATATATTTCATTTTTTATGAGCAGTGTTCAAGAGTTAGGCAGATATGATATTTGCTCAAAAACATAAAACTATATAAATCTTGATTTAGAATACATGAATTCCATTAATTTTTATTGCAAAATGGAAAAGCTGCATCAATATTTGAAGTATTCCATTTTTGGTACCGTTCCATTTTGGGTACCCTCACCCTATCTGTCAAAATGTCTGGTGTCAGGGCCAGAGGGGATTCGAGCTAGTCAAATACGTGATCTAATTATTTCATTGATGGCAAGAGGCGAAATGTTTCTTTTATCGAAGGAAGATTTTGGTAGATTGTTCGTCGTTGGGATTGTTTTGTGTAAGTATTTTTTTCGTGTAAAACCGTAGATTGACATCAGTATCAATCTTAAAGCAGGGCTCTCTCTTAAAAGTATCTTCAAAAATTCATTTTGTGGAATGCGGAAACTACTTACAGAAACGGATGTAAAATATTCGCCTTCACAACGTTTTATTGTATGATTTTTACAAAAGTCTTTAAATTAATATATGAAGATTAAAAAGGCGGCATGATACCCAATCTTATGTAGACTCAAAACCTATCAGAATGATCCAATGACGCTTTCAATTTACACTAAATACCACATCTGAACCCACCCCACCCCAACTCGAAAAAAAGAAAGATTACAATTTCATATCATTCGATTATATGTCGTAGATTAAATTCAATTTTTATCGCATATATTTGTGTTTACCTGGGAAGGTTCGGATAGAGTGACAAATGAGGTTTAATTGATTGGTAAATATTACATTCCTTACGTAACCGTTAAGAAGTAAGTGGAATACGTAACAGAATAATTTGACAACATCGTCACTGAAATACAATCTGTGAAATCAATAAGACTGAACTTGGAGACAAGGCTGATTGACGTATTATATATGTACTGTTTAAAAATCATATTTTGATTGTTAGAATTCATTCCAGGATTGTCGTACATTAGAAACGATTTGCTGATAAATACGTACGAGTTTTCTCCCTTTAACCTTTTCTGGCGGACTGCAGTGGCGTATACGTAGCAAATCATTTTTCGGGGTGTCCGTGGCGCGTAGCGCCGTAGGAGGGGGAGGGTTTGAGAGGGGGAGCTAAAAAAAACAGAAGAATTCTACTAAGTCCTAGAAGCAATCTCTCGTTTTCTGGGAAATCCTTTTAGTATGACTATTAACAAATAAAACCCGTCTTTTTATATGAATAATATCAAATTTTGTACTTCATTTAGTTTTTTTTTTAAATTTGGAATTCTACATAACCGTCGAGATTTTCCATTGTGTATAGACATAACAACAAATTTTCAAGAAGATTTTGTTTTATTCTTTCCCCTTTTATGATTGATACGGACGGTCCATATAAATCATAAAAAAATAGAAGAAATCAGTAATTAAAAAAAATCTTGAAAATGTTAGTGTATCCTTGGGCATACAAGTATACATGTATGCTACGCCACTGGAATGATACAATAATGTTTATTTAACGTCGCATATTTAAAACAATAACCATTAGCACTGTAGTGCTATTCTTGCGACAAAGATGAACACAAATAAGAAATAACATGGATAAATAGCAAGCAGGTAAATTAAAAGCTAGTTAAGAAATGGCAAGCAAATATCAGAGGATAATTTAACAAGTAAAACAATAAAGGTACAAAAGCAATGCAGCACATAAGTAATCACAGACAGGTAGCATTTGAAGTTAGATATATACACTGGAGGTAAATAATGAATATAATATCACATTCATGAGAGGGCGATATTGCATATTTTCACCCCAAGGAAGCATTGTTAACCGAGGCGAAGCCGAGGTCAACAATGCTTTCCGAGGGGTGAAAATATGCAATATCGCCCTCTCATGAATGTGATTTTTATTTTATTATACCGAGTGTCATGTTTAGGTGTTTCACCACTTCACCATTTTTAAAGGTCCTTGTGTTGATTTGACATAAACCAAGATTTCATCTCAACAGTTGTCGAATGAACCAACCATGAGTGTGATTTGATAACACCCTGGCACTGGGACGAACCGTGCACGCATACGTTTGGCGCATGTAACAATTTTTGGAATAACACCCTGGCACTGGGACGAACCTTGCACGCATACGTTTGGCGCATGGGATATTTTTTGGAATGTCACCCTGTCTTCTTTATCTTTGTAAAACGAGCAAGTAACATTGAAAATGTTCACATCTTTCTCAACCAATCAGATTACGAGATTTTAACAGAAGGTATAATAATATTCATTATTTACCTGCAGTGTATATATCTAACTTCAAATGCTACCTGTCTGTGATTACAATATTATTATACCTTCTGTTAAAATCTCGTAATCTGATTGGTTGAGAAAGATGTGAACATTTTCAATGTTACTTGCTCGTTTTACAAAGATAAAGAAGACAGGGTGACATTCCAAAAAATATCACATGCGCCAAACGTATGCGTGCACGGTTCGTCCCAGTGCCAGGGTGTTATTCCAAAAATTGTTACATGCGCCAAACGTATGCGTGCGCGGTTCGTCCCAGTGCCAGGGTGTTATCAAACCACATTCATGGGTGGTTCATTAGACAACTGTTGAGATGAAGTCTTGGTTCATGTCAAATCAACACAAGGTCCTTTAAAAATGGTGAAGTGGTGAAACACCTAAACATGACACTCGGTATAATAAAATAAAAATCACATTCATGAGAGAGCGATATTGCATATTTTCACCCCAAGGAAGCATTGTTGACCGAGGCGAATGAATGTGATATTTATATAATGTTACACAAGTTTTACTTACTGATCGTTAAAGCACTATTACAATGAAATATACATACATGCTAAGTAGCAAAGTGTAAAATTTGGCAAGGATATACACCAATATAGTGTGATTTAAAATAGGGATAATGTTGTCAATTTTAACTAAAAAAATGGGAGCTAGATAAGCATTTAATTCAAAATATGCTGCGTGATATTTCGAGTTAAGATTACATACAATAATGAAGCACAAAAAGCCTACCAGTCATACATGATAGTAAAACAGTATAGTAAGTTACAGTAAAAGGGAGAAAACTCCATTATATTACCCGTATTTGTGCAGCTGTCACCAAAACTAATAACGGACAAGTTCTGTCCTTTTTGCAAAAAAAACCCCGAAAGACAAAAAAAACAACTAACTAACAAAAGAACTCGACTTTCTCCACTTTCTATAAGATTTGCAGTAATAGTAGTTTAGTTCCAGATTATCTTCATCTTTTAATTTGCATCCTTAAAACATTTATGATCTTCATCGTGATTTCCTTACCAAAAATATAAGCAATTTCTAAGCTGTAGAGAAGATAAATTTCAAAAAATCAAGTATTCACTCTGCAATGAATTCGAACTTATGGAATGGTCTAAGTAATTTTGTAAAGAATAGTTCTCTATATCCTCTGCATTTGACATGAAGGTACATGTAGTTCCTGAATCACGCGTTTGACAGAAATATTTGTAACCGACATCTAAATTCAAAGCTTTTTGCACTAATTCCACTTAACGATAGAGGTAGTTTAAGTGATTTAAGTCCATGTAGATAGTTGTGTACCCCCTGCCTGCCTTTGCGATTATGTCATGAAGATGCGTATACATTTGTAGCCTGTTCATAATTTAAATCCGGGTAATAACACGGTATAGCAAGTCCCTCGTCTCAGTACTATTATTTCAATCTTCCATTTAAAACAACCGTACGTGATATACCTTTATATCATGATCATAAATATCAATGTTATAGCACTATTATCGGTATTTCGTTTAAACAATAACTTAATAATTTCAGCTTGCAATTCATAATGAAAATGAAACACATGTCTGCGGATCTTCACCCCGATGTCCAAAACACACTCAGCGATTTGCACGATAATAAGTAGCCTGGAATTCAAAACGATATTCAAGCACGAGGTCGTGTCTTTTGACCCCGATGTCCAAACCATATTAAACGATCATGACAAACTTGTGTGTGGCTGTGTCGGCAGGCATTGCACCTAACAGCATGATCCTTGTCTGAAACACTAGTTACCATGTCTGTCAGTTATAATACTTCGCGGATGACCCTGCTGCGATTTGAAGTTTGCTACGGAATCCAGTGATTCGCAAATTGCGTGTTTTTTTTTGCCAGAACCTTTGGTCATTTTGCCATGTATTGGTGACGTCAGAATTATTCAAATTGTGGCGTACAAACATTGACCCTCTTGGGTCACTCTGTTTCTTGTACCGTTATTATTTATCTGACTTGTTTTGGTCAGTCAGGGTCATTGATGTTATAAACAGAAGTCAACTGGGCTTTAAAATGAAAATGAGAACATTTCGGACAGACTATCGAAGTTATATGGTTAAAAATGATTTATATT